ATACTATTTTTATTATATTTTAATTAATATTCATTTGTTGTTTTTATTGTAAACTGCCCAGTCACTTCCTCATGAGATGGGTGGTGTCCAAATTTGATAGATAGATAGATAGACAGACAGACAGACAGACAGACCGACCGACCGACCGATCGATCCTGTGCTAACTATGGGCACTTATGAAGTTGCAGACACCTCCCTTGGCACCCATCACTCTCCCTGTACTACTTTTAAAAATGATTTTAATTTAAACAAAATTAAATATAAGGTATAAAAAAAGGAAAAGCTCCCAATATTTTTTTTTTCTTTCTAAAAAGTGGATGTTTTGGGACTGGCCTTGCCTACTATGAAAGCCATTATGTGTGAGTGTCCAGAGTCTGTTCCACAATTCCAAATGTATCCACCTACCCTAAAGGTTTGCCTACTCTATTATATAGCCTCTTCATTAAGTGGCACAACCCAACTGACAAGGAGAGCAAAATGGCTTTCATGCATAGTTTCTTTTCACTGTTTTGGAGAAAACATATTGAGATATATATTTTCCAAAAGGAAGAGAAAAGTAGTAAGAGAATGCAGACAGGTACATGAAAACTACAATATGCTGTGTCTTTTTTTTTAAAAGAGAGATATTGCAGCTTTCAGTACATTTGTACAATTAGCTTTACTGATGCTGCTGATTATTCTGATATTTGTATTTCATCAAGATGGTATATACGGTCCATCCATCTTCCCTTAAGTTCTCATAGAGATAGATATAGATATACATACATACATTATGTCATGCCCCCAGGTATAAGGTTTTACATAACTTCCGATTTCTCTGTTTTTCTCTAAAAAATTCTCTATTTTCATACTTTATATACCCTGTGCAGTGTTTTCAGTCACACCGGCCACCAGGAGGCAGTATGTGACTAGTTTCATCCTTACTGGGAAATGTCACACAGGCAGATCTTATTCTATGGAGTTCAAACCCTCTACTGGGATCTGAACTCACTGCCCATTGCACTTTAAATGACTATATACAAAGCATTAGCTTTAGAAGCTATTCAGGTCCTGGAGCTCATCAGTGTTGCAGGAAGGGATATACAGAATTTGTCAGAATGCTATATATGATTCACCTGTCCTGAAGTTCTTAATGTACTATCTATAGAATAAGATCTGCCTACATACATCTGAAAATTCCCAATAAGAATGAAACCGGTTACATATTGCCTCCTGGGGCTTAATATATTTCATATACTGTACATTTTAGCTGCCTCTAGCTGCCCTAACCATGTGACAATTTGAGTAAGTGTGAGATTGTCAGCTGAATTAACACATTTTACAGAAGATTCAGAACTAGGGTTCCTTCTTTGACACATGTGGAAAGGATAGGGGAAAAAAGGAAAGAAATTTAAAATAGCTAGAAAATGCTTTGGCAGTTAAGTTGTTGACCATTAAAACGCTGTGAAACATGCTGGGAAAGTAAAATAAGATCCAAAAATACTTTCTATGTTTCTTCCGGGGCCTCATGAAATCTTGAATTTTTTGTTGCCATGTCACATTTTTGCCCAAAACTCATTCACTGTTTACAATATAAGATTTCAGCCAGATTGAGTCCAGGTTAAAAATGATTATATCATTTTCTAGAAATACTATTAGGATTCAATAGATCCAGCAAAAAATAAAAAACACATTTAGACAGCAGGACATATTTGTTAGGCAAAAGCAATTAACCAAACAATTGTTATGCAACAGTTTTCATTGGTTCATTAGGAAGCCCTGCAAGAAAAAGCAAAACAGAATCTAGAATGCCTTGGTGAAACACTGAGTCCATAGTAATTACTGAAAGTCTATTCTAGTAGCCTAATTAACTTATCTCCACAAGAGAAATAAGAAACTGTTCTCTCAAGATTGCATTATGAAACTTTTAATTCCAACATTAAAATAAAACTAACTTGGAACAGAGTTATATCTCCCAAAATCCAACAGGTTTCTGAAGTGTTCTCCACTTAAAATTATATTTTCTTCTCCTTTTTAAAAGTAATACAGAATCTGTTTTCTTCCCTAATCAATTACATTCAGATGGAGTTTCAGTATTTAGTACTATAAAATATCAAAACAATCAGATGCTAAATTGTGCAGATAAATAGTTTCTGATCTGTATAGGTAAATGTATTTTACTAAAGAATGCCACCAATCTAGAGCAAAAAGAATGTTTGTGTGTACATAATCATATATAGAAATAAAATTATTTAAAATATTAATACAATAATTCTTCATTTTCTTGGCTCTACTCACTTATTTTAGGGTATGCAACAATGATCAATATGGTCATAGATACTCACCACTGATATAATTATATCAGATCCTATTTATATTTTGCAAAACATATACCATATTTGCCACTAAGCCAAACCACCCCCCCACCATAAGATTAAGCAGTAGTACAGAACTACACTATTTCATACATCTGACTTCACAAGATTCCCAGCTTTAGTCTCTTTTTTCTTTCTTTAAGCTGCAAGGAATCAATAGGACAGGTAAGGAAATCACTATATCAACCCAACATAATTCTGTCCTTTTTTCCAACACTGAATACTTAGAAAACACAGTATATTGAAGAAGCATGGCTGCAGAGCAAGACATATAAAGAAACAAAACAAAAAACAAACAAAAAAAACATAATACAACAGGCTCACACTATAAAGATAAGAATTTCCAACATAAATTTGGGAGCGAATTGTTACATATTCCAAAAGTAACTCTAGTTTTTAAAAAAAAACCTGTGTCTATTCATGCTGGAGATATGAAGCTACCAACATCATTTTTTTGAGCTTTTATATTCTGCCCTTTGATGTGACAAATCTCATGGCTTGCTATCTAGGAATTCAAATTCAAATTCAAATACTTCTGAAGAAGATCAGATTAAGGAACTAATAGCCATGTTAAAGATAAATTTCAGATTCCACCAGGTGATAGGAAAGGGAAAGAACACAATTTTGGAGCTACTCTTCTGAATTTAGGGGGTGAGAACTGTAGCAATATGCTTCCCAGAGCAATATGCTTTCCCCCCAAATATAACAAAGGAAAAAAAATGTCATATCTTTTTTAATGACCTCACTGTATCATTAGGTTTGCAGCCCTCCAGAAGGTTAAGTTATAGCCTCCACCCTCAGATGTTACCCACTCCTGGCCTAAAACATTAACATGTGAAGACCACTGTTTTCTCATCTGTTCCTGCTTAATCATAAATAAAAGTAACACTTCTGAAGAAATTGCAATTGCTTCTGTAATTAACATTCAATTCAACACAACTATTAATCAGTAATAAAAGGTAATGAATAACGACATGGGTGCTAGATTGGTGGGACTCTCATAAGTAAGATATATTTATTGGAAAGAGTTTTGCTAAGCATGAAAGACACATATATGAAAACAGCAAATATGAAAATCAGCATTAACATGCAATTCACAGGAGACACAGCATTCATGAAGAATTGTGTTAGGTTGGTCATAAGGCTTTAGAGAATAAAAGAATACACAGGGGAGAAATTCAAAAAAATGAAAATCAAACTTCCTCTTGTGTTATTAGGTTAACACATGATCAACCATTAAAATACCTAAAATTAAGCATTCGTAATCATATTTTTCTAACCTTCATGCCTTCTCTAGATATATAACAGGATAAGAACTGACAAGACAAAACCATAGTTGAGTCCATTTTCATTGTGCAGAGAAATGAAAAAAGCAAACAGTTTAAATTTTAAGCAATAGTTTGCAGAATTTTCAGTTAAATAAATTTGTAGCATTATTAAGACCGCAAAAATCTGAAATTCCTGTAACGAACAATTAATGTTCAAAAAGTAAATGCGATCAATATGAGAATAAAAGTTTAGCTGTTTTGTTAATATGACAAATTTCACAAATTTAATCCATACAAGAAAAAACTGTTCCACTGAGTATATGGGATTAGCATATTTTACACCCATAAATCAAATAACTTGTTGGTAAATGTGAATTAGGATTCAAAGAATATTAGGGAAGGATACGATCAGTGCCTTGGAATATCACACAACCTTTCACCAATTCTCCCATGATGCAACCAACTGACCAGATATCAACTGAAAGTAAAAGTGAAATGATAAAATTATGAAGTGTCATGAACTAAAGCAGAAAACAAAAAATATTTTTACATTTAAAACACAACAATGCATAAAACAAAACAGCTAACATGTTTTTGAACAATATGGACAGGAATAATGATCTAATTACAAATTTAAAATACCAGAAAACCATCATTAAAAGCAAATATCATACTACTACAGCATGCATATCCATTCTTTTATTTACACACACACACACACACACACACACACACACCAGTCTTACTTTGAATAATTTGCATTTGAACTCCCTGAAAGAGCTGCAAAGGATACAATCTCTTCCAGGAAACAGGACCTTATGGAGGACCATTTCTGCCATTATGCACCCAACAGACCAGATATCCACTATTAAATGTTAAGTGTAATGGGGATAAAAATTAAACATTTTTTAAAAAACTCTATACATATATTTTCGTACAATAATTGCACCCTGAAGGAGTCACTGACAATAATTCAAATGTACCATATATACTCATGGATAAGCCAAGAATTTTAAGTGCCAAAATACACCCCAAAATTGGGTTTGGCTTACCCATGGATGGGATTATCCGCAAGTATATATGGTAATACTTTTTTAAAGTACCCGTATATCCTGTATACATTTGCGGATAAGCCCAACGACAGATAAGCTGACTCTCGAATTTTTACCCAAAGTATCATGAAAAATGCACCACCTGTGGATAAGCCAGTTGAGAAAATTAAAACAGACAAAAATGTCACGGGTTGGCTTATCCATAGGTGGCACATTTTTCATCGTATTTTGGTTAAAAATTCAAGGGTTGGCTTATCTGTGGATGGGCTTATACACAAGTATATACAGTAAAAAATTATCATAGACTGTGTTTCATAGTTTTCTAAAACTATAATCCAAACAGTACTTATGTCCATTGAAATTCATGGGACCAAGTTGGTAATTATTAACATTTCTCTGATTTCAATGAGTTGATCCATCTAGTTTTCTTTGCATTGAGCCTATTTCTATACAGATCAGTGTAATTTCCTTCATAATTGTCTATCTGGTTTTTTAAACAAATTTATTTATTTATTTGTCAATTTATATGCTGCCTCAAGCAAGAGTGACTCTAGGTGGCTTAGACATAAGTAACAGCTAAAAACTAAAAAAGTCACTGTTGTGAGATTGGTGGCTTTATAAATTGTATGCATAAATATACAAACAAAGGCAAGACAAGAAGAAAACAGAAAAGAATACATGGTACACACTGGGGAGGATAAGAACTCAAACATATCACCCACCAAAAGTTATCACTAGAGAACAGTGCAAAGGTCCTCCTGGTCAGGACACATTCAGCAGGATCTGAAAGTCCAGGAGAACCCTCAGGTTACATACCAGTTCTACCTGAGACAGTGTCACACCATCAAGAAATAAGACAGTAAATCACGGTGACTTGGTCCTTGAAACCAAAGGTACTTAGTTTGCCAGGTTAGCTTGTTCCTTAGCTTGTTCCTCTCCATCCAGATCCTTAAAGCCCTCAGGCACCAAGACAGGATCTTCAAAATATCACTTATCTGCTTTGGGCATACTGCCTAAAGCATACCTGATGATATCTGACCCCATGCCAGCAAATGACCTCACCCAACAGCCTCATGCAGATACTGAATAAAACTGGGGACAGCATCAAGCCCTGTGGGACCCTACAAAGCAAGGGTCTTGGGCTGGATTTCTTCCCAACTACCAACACTGACAGGACTTAGGTCTGAAGGAAAGAAAAAAACCATTTCAAAACAGCAACCCCACTCCCATCCCCCAGAGACCGTGATTGATGATACTGAATACGACAAGCAGGACTAAGAGAATCACACCAACCCTATCCTGATTCCACTAGAGGTTATCCACAAACATGATCAATGTTATCTCAATGCTGTACCCAGATCTAAACCCTGACTGAAAAGGATTCAGATACAGTGGTACCTCGGGATACGAACGCCTCTACTAACAAACTTTTCGGGTTACGACCA